ATTACCTTTCAAAAAAAAAAAATTAATAATTTTTCAAATAAATAATTTTTTAAGAATAAAAAAATAAAAAAAATGATTAAACATTCCTTATTTGGTGTAAGTTTTGGTATAATGAGTTGGAGATGATTTCCAGTTTGGTGTAAAAATGGTGCGAAACTTACCTCAAATTTTGGTATAAGGTTGGAGATGGCCTAATGGGTTTATCAGAGATGGAGACTGAAGATGTGATTCGTTTTAATTGTTGAATATGGATAGTTGAGTGGAAGTTAATATCATTTTATTAAAATACCTAACTATCTGGAAGTACAAGATCAGGGAATCAATGATCCTGATCTATGACTTTATTAAACAAAAATAGTTGCTGGCTTCTATAAGGACGGTGTAACTTTAGACTATGATTGTCTTGGTATAGTGCAGTGTGCTTTTGAATCCATGCCATGAGCAGAAAGATAGCCATCTTTCTTTCCTACCAATCAGCCTGCATGCTCTTAGTAATTCTTGTGAATTTTACGAAACAATGTGTCGAATATTTATACTTCTATTTGAGATTGATGACTCTGTTGTAATTGGGATTGGGAGTACATGGAGTTAATTTATTTTCTAAGCCATGTCTTGACAACATTCTTCATAATACGTTCTACTTTCTTTATTGTGATGGGAGCTTGTATATTTTCTTAGTTCTGACTTCTTGTACTATTTTTGTGAAAGTGTTCTCTCATCTGTCAAGAGAAGGAAAAAGAAAACAAAAAGAGAGAGAAAGAAAAAGCTTAAAATATCTACCTGGGATATCCATTTTGCTCTTTATAAATTATTGAAGAATGTTTAATTCTAAATTTTTTTAATTTACTAAACCCGTTCTTTGTGGTTTGTAACACTTACGGAGACAAGAAAAATTTAAAAGGCCCATCACGTGCTGGGAGCACAAGAATCATTAGGTGAACAAGAAAATGAAAGAAAACTAAGAAAGATGAACATGATAGACATGTTAAGAACTTTTGGATCTTCACCGTATTAAGCTGAATCTCATGGTTTATCTAATCTGGCAAATCCTGGACATTTTGGTGGTTAATGTTTTGTGGAAGAGGAAATTGATCCATGCTATATAGAAACTTTATCCGTAAGAAGATTTAATATAACTGATGAACCTATCAAAGTAAACTATTTAATTTCAATTAGAGGTTCTCCAAGATTGAGGATGGGCAGTTAGAGCTGGTAGCTATTACTTTCACTTGGAAACAAAATCTTCGGCTATGTTACCTTCTTAGCATGGATTTTGGCCTTTTAATAGGTGAGAAGGCAAAAAGAATATGTCTAATTATTGAGAAACAAATATTTAAAGTTATCGGTTTGGTGCTTCAGTTGTTGGAAATTTTGACCAAATTTATAAAAACCAAAAAAAGAAAAAAGGAAGTGGGCTGCAATAGGTTTCAAAGGAACCCTCTGTCTTGAGCTGCAAAATGAAAGAAAATAAAGGTACCTGCTGCTTGATCAACTGGGAAAAAGAATAAGTAATTGCATGGAAGGAAATATAGTATTTAAGGCAAAAAGAGAATCATTCCCTACCAAAGTTTAGAAAGTGGTCTGAGAGGAAAAGTGATTGAGCTTGTGTTTGACACCGATTTTGGGGAAAAATGAATTCTGGAATAGTGGTTGATGAAGAATGTGTGGTTGAAAAGTAATGAAAAGTTTAGATATACATAACGGAATGAGGTATTAGATATACATAATGGAAGACCTAGTTGGAACATTGTTTTTGGGCGGGGTTTGCAGGACTGGGAAGTGGATGATTATGCATTGCTCCTGACGTCGTTGTATAAGGTGTACGTTAGGGTTGGTGAGGATGATTGTAGTAGGTGGAGGCTGACACAGGACGGTACCTTTTCTGTTGGCACTTATTTTAGATTCTTATTGGGATTTGTGGAGAGTTCATTCCCTTGGAAGATGGTTTGGAAATGTAAATTGCCTCCAAGGGTGGCATTTTTACTTTGGACGGTTGTTAGGGGACAGGTGTTAATGGTGGATAATCTTCGTAAAAGGGGTTTTTATGTTATAGAGTAATGTTATATGTGTGGGAGGGATGTGGAGACGATTGACCACCTATTCCTTCATTGTGATGCGACTCGTTTGTTGTGGAACGATATTCTGATGTCTCAACACATGGATTGGGTATTGCCGAGGCGTATGGAAGACGTGTTAAAGGCATGTGGGAGAAAGTTTCGAGATAAGGATAGCAAACTTGTGTGGAACCTTATTTCGAGTTGTATCGTTTGGAGTTTGTGGAGAGAAAGAAACAACCGCAGCTTTGATGATCAAACACGAACAACAGAGTAGATTAGGGAATTGTTTTATTTGACATTGTATAATTAGTTTAATGCTGCAGCTACTAATCATGTAGATGGGCTGCCTAATTTTTTATTGTTTCTTTCTGGTTTAAAGTAATAATACACTATATGTGTATTATTCTTTGAATAATAAAATACTTGATTACCTTTAAAAAAAAAAAACTAAGCTTCCATT